GGAACACCTACAGCAGACACAGAGAGAAGACCCAGCAAACAGAGAAGCAGTTCCTTTGAGAGGCAGAGGAGATATGACACTACTGCGTGCATGGGATAACGTCTGTGAATATTAAAAGTGAAAAGCATCAGGAGGCATTTCACATTTCTATTTTCTACAGACATAGCCTTGGCTTAACTGAATGCACTGTTTTCATAAGAGTGGTATTATGTATGGTCAGTAATGACAGAAGCTAGGAAGATTACTGTGGGGTTTGGCTGCGCTATTTCCCCTATGTGTCAATGTAATAAAACAGTCAGGAAAGGTAGGGTTCATCTCACATAACTCCACCACTTACAGGGAACCAATCTATTTTAAACTAATCATTGATCTGCCTCTGTAGAACTGGTGCAAGTAAGGTGCCAGTAATTTACTCATTAAGTTAGAATTAAGGTGGATGACGTACCATCAGGAATGGCAACTCTGTTGAATTTAGATATTAAGTTTAAAGTGGACAGATGCTACTTACATAGGTCTAATACAGGTGGGATAATTCTTCCTCTACTGCTTCTTGACTTTGCTTGTCAGGCTCAGTGTAAATAGAACAACTTTGTGCTGTGGATCAAACCTGGCTCACACATATGAGTTTGCTGATCAGCTTAGTTCACAGTAGATCCCCTTCTCTTGATTTTCTTGTTTTCAGCATTACAGCCACATGTAGCTTCTGGAGTTAGATCTACTGTCTTCAGTCAAAGGCACTAGGCAATCCCAAGGACTGAGCATGTAGGAACAGATAAAGTGACTACTACAGTGTAAAGTCAGAGAAATGATATTTAAACAGTCTCAGTCAATGAAATACTAGGGCATTCTCATGTGATGTTTTCCCTTTAGAGTTTTTATATCCATATAGGAGTGGAATTAATTTTTCACAGGTATATCTAGCAAGGAATAAAGGCCACAGAGCTGGAAGAAAAATTATGGCCTACTTCTAATCTGTAAATTTCATAAGGAAAATCTTCATATGTTTATAAGGAACATATTGCTTGTTATATACTAACTGGAATATTCCCTACTTTACGTTAGTGGTTAGGTGTTGAACAATTTATCAGTAGCAACTGTCATACCCCAAACCGTATCACATTTTAGTTTAATTTGTGCAGCACTGTCAGATTGCTCTGGTCGTATTCTAATTCCAGAAATAAAGCTGTGTCTTCAACAGATTCCTGGGCAGAGTAATATTCTCAGTAGTGCAGCTTTTGCTTCAGCACTCTTGTGTACTTGCCAAATGATGGCATCAGACATTTTAATTGCTGAGTTTTCAGCCTTATGGGGGCAAGCAACCCATAAGCATCAAGTTTCCATGTTCATGCATGGTAACCGTCTATTGCAAATATTTGATTGCATTAATGAAGATGGAGTACAGAAAGTAAGAAAACTTCTTCTCAGAGGACCTGTTCAATCAAGCAGTGTACCCTGAATACTGTCTTAGTCAAATAATGAAACTGATATGCCACCAAACCTGTAAGATCTTGGGAATTCTAACACAAATTACTGCTTTTGCAGATGTCTAATTTTGTAACGGTTATAAAAATGGTCCTTCAATAGTCTGTACTAAAATTGGGCTGATATTAAGTGAGTTATTTTGAAATCACATCTACAAAGGTTATATTCAGCTTTATCAGTAAGAGATAAACACATCTGTGGTTCTATAACATGTGTCTTAATACTGTTTTCATTTCAGGTTTCTGTGGATCTGAAATAGAGATGGTTTGGAGAGAATGGAGACAGGGAAAGGAAATAGACAGATTGCAACTGTTTAAGTCATCCATCCTCTTCCATAAGGACAGTGGAGAGGCTGCACCTTTCTGCCTCATGGGGTATAGTCAACATGGTACAGTTACGCAGTCTTGAGTCCAGACTGGGTCTCTGCATGGCTCATTGATGCAAATATTTTTTTTTTTTTTTTGCTTAGATTCTTACTCTCAAAGTTTCATATTCATCAATGTAATGGGTTAAGAATTTTCCATTTAGATGAGTTTCTTAGTGTGCAGGTACTATTTTTTTTCTATTTCTCTCTCTTTTCTTGAGTCCTAGTTGAGAGAAAATGGCAGTCACGGTTAGTTCTTTGTCAAACTGAGTTACTCTTTTTTCATCAACATTTGTTTTCACATTGTTCCTCTTTCTGGTTCCCTCTTATGGTCCCATATGTGTCTCTTTAAAATTCAGAATACTTTATGGGTCAGCCTTTGGAAGCCTACACAGCCACTGTCCAAGCTGTGTCATGTTCATGGAGCATTAGAAGCCTTCTCTAGTACATATCTCATCCTGTAATTACCATGTTGTTTGTAAAACAGAGAGAGAGAGTGTGTAATTTCCATTTTTATCAGTGTGATATCTACTAAAAATCATTAATCATCACTAACATTCTGTGTCAGCAGTCTGTCTGTTTGATACTGGTCCATTAAAAAATACTTAGCCTTTAGTTCAGAAAGTCCTACATTAGAATCTCAGGCAGGTTATGCTTAGTGAGCAGCTAAAACATATCCTGCTTCAATGGTCACCTTTGTCACAGATGTTAGGTAGGTGTACTCTGATAAAAAGGCCGGGTACCTTTGTGAGCAAAAGTTGATTTTCATTTATTCATTACCCTATTTTCATGTATTAATTACCCTGACATGAAGCTAAGAAGCAAGGAAGTTCCAGGAAGAACTTTATAGAAAATATTAATTAGGGAATATAGCAAATGAACTAAAACAATGTAATAGAAGATTGAACGAAAGAAATACATGGGTGAAATAGTTCTTATATATGTAACAGAAGGAAAAACAACTTAGTACTGATTCTTTCTACATTTTAAAATGTTAAAGAACATTAGCAAATGAAATATTAAAAAATACAAGTAGGTGGTTTGACTGGTAAGGATTCAGTGCAACTTGAAGTGCAACCAGCTGAACAAGCATGGGTTTCATCCCAGAGGAGCAGTGTCTGAGTGCACATCCCTTCTAGGGATCAAATCACTAATATAAAGCTGCATTACTACAAATCTAACCTGAAAATACAACTGAATTTTCATCTGTCTAGAGGCTAACTAGATCCAGTCGTTAGGCTAATTTTTATACTTTGTGCTTCTGAGACAAATCTGGTCTTTTCTTGTGCTCAAATTCCCTGCTGCTTTGCTTCTCTTTCCTATGATACCATCCGGAAATAGCTTAGGCCTAAAGATGTAGTTTTTGAAACATGATTTTTACAATATAAGAACTCCTATTTAAAGCTCTTTAGAAGTCTTTTCACACAGCTACTTGTCTGCTACCTTGGACTGCTTGGACAGGCTTCACTCTTGTTTCTACTCTAGGAGGAATCTTTTTGCTCTGTGCTTGCACAGCATCTACTCTTTCAGCTTTGTTCGTGACTTGTGCCTGTTGATGCTGTTCAGTTTTCAAAGCCTGCAGTCTGTAATGGGGTCAGCAATCAATGTAGAGCAAAACACAGCAAGAAAAAAAGGAAAGAAGGCAGAACCTTGAAAATGATCAAAAGAACATCACAAAGAGGTTCAGATAATGAGGAAAGTTGGATTTCCTTGCAAAACAGTGTTCACAAGAATAAAAGCGGTGTAATGAAGAAGTGACATTTTGAGAGTTGAAGGTGGGTAAAAATTAGAACGAGAAGGCAAAGCTTTTCTGTTAGAAAAGAAGGTGAAAAGTGAAGCAGCCATTACTGCCTGCAGTAATGCCTGGAACACTGGGATAGGATAGTCCTTGAGACTGGACAGAAGCAAACTTCAATGTCATGAAGAACATTTGGCTAAATAAAAAATAAAGACAACGTAAGTATGAATGGTGAATGAAGTGACATCTCCTACTGCCTATGAGAAACTGGAAGAACGTTCCATTGGGTTTCAGACCCCAAAGCTCACCAGCATGCTTTCAGTTACAGTTTAGTGTTTCAGAACCTCTCCAAAATAGGAAGCAAAATATTAAATATACCTATGTCAATTGGCAAATACTTGACTGGGCTATTTAATACTTCTGGGAGTTGGATGTACAGCAATTCCTTCATCTGGCCACTGAGAATACCCCAGCTCTGCAGAGCAATTTTTAAGCTGCCCTCCTTCAGCAGCCTTCCCTTCATTTTCTCAGCTGCTGTTCCTTACCCAGCAGTATTTCAGGCAGTTGAAACTGGGTGATTGTAAAAGTGGCACGTATTTCACTGTCGAACCAGCTATGAATGACCTTTGGAATTTAAAACTTAAAAAGCAAATATAAAAATGGGAAAGTGTGACTAGTTTATGGGACAAAAGCTAAAATGGAATAGTCAAAGCATGAGAAGCTTTATTTGTGAATGAAAAGTTGTAACCAACTGTTAGGCGCACCTGTGCAAAAATACACTTTTTGGAAATTATTAAATGTCAGCTCTGATTTTTTCAGGCAACTGATATTTATATACTTGATTCTATAACATTCTTCTAGGAGTGAAACCCAAGCTATATTAGAAATGGAATAAGACAGTTTTTATAAAGATATCTCCAGAAGGTCATTTCTCACGGAACTTGATGTAACTCTGGCTGTTCCGAGTTATGCCTATTTCCCAACGTTCTTTGAATGAGTCTGAAATTTGGTGGAACTGAGCATGCGTGAGTGACTAAAATATCCATATCTGTTGATTTTAATAGTGAGAGATCAAGCCTCTGGAGGAGGACTTTTTTCTCCATTCTAATAGGGAAAACGTGCCACCCAATATAATTTCTCCAAAATTAACAACATTTATTTTCCATTGTAATTTCTTGATGGAATTTTCAAGGTGCTGTTGAGTGTTTTTTACATTTGAGCACTGAATTACTTAGATCCTATATGAAATAACCAACTACAAGGAAACATTGTATTTTAAGGTTTTTTTCAGCTTGAAAAACACAGCAGGATTTAATGCAGAGTATCTCGGGTACTTGGAATTGATGTTTTTAGGAAGGTAATTTTATTTTAGGAAGGAAAATTGTTTTTTATTACGAATATAATAGCAAGTACGGAGTCTCTGTGGCGCAATCAGTTAGCGCATTTGGCTGTTAACCAAAAGATTGGTGGTTCGAGCCCACCCAGAGACGGTTGTTCCCTTTCCTCTGTGCATGGGGGGGGGAGGTTGGAACTAGATGATCTTTAAAGTCACTTCCAACCCAAATGATTCTACGGAACCTTGGAAAACAAATTCTCTAGTAGCCTCAGACTCACTGAAACACAACTTTGCTGAAGTATCAGCAATGAGTTAACAGACTTGAAGTATTTCCATGCATCGTTATTTAAAGATGAAATTGCATAGAAATAGTTTAATTTAAGCAGAATATCACAGAGTGTTCTTAGCATGCACACTGTTCTGTCCTTTGTTTTTGTCTGTATGATGCTCTGTTGTGTTTCTGTGAGCTCTAATGGGTCTATGTAATTTTATGATGTTGAAATGCAAACATAAATATGCAAAATATCAACATGGGCTACTATGCACCTCAGGCTTAGCAAAGATTTGTCATTTAGGAATTAACAGATAGCTGAGTAATTGTGCTATTTGCAGAAATGTTGTGTAAAAGCTGGTGAGTTGGAATCTGCAGGACAGCTGTTATTGTTTGCTTCTAGCTTTAAATTTCCTGTGTATGGCACACTTTAATAATTGCTTCTAATGACATGCATATGAATCTAATTCTTTGATGTGACATTTTTGCTTATGCTTTAAAAACACTTGCACTGAGAGGCTTAACTAAAAGTATATGACTTTCTCTAGAGCCTAAAACCAGAACAAAGGTATATGCACTGAAACCACTAAAGCCCATATCCCTCAACAGCTTTCTCTCGTTATCAATTTATGAGTCAGCCCTTGCCTCTGTAGTGGTTTAAGCCCACAGTCTCACAGGGAAAACTGGTACAACTCCCTATCCACTGCCCATCTGCCTGTTTTCATGCTGTGAGCAAGAATTTAATCTTTTTGAGATGTCTTCCTTTCCACAGTGCTGGAGATAAGGATCTAAATACTAGGAAAGAGGCAATCGAAATGCTGGTTTCAAAGCTGAAGGCAAAAACTCTAGCATACTATTAACATGGAAGTAGGAAGCAGACAATAAGCTGGTAAAGAGGTGAGACAATAACCTAAACAAACAAACAAGTAAATAAGGCCTTGATCAGGGCAAAAAAGCACCTAATAAAACCAGAAGAGACCTTTGCTCTTGTCTATTGGCTTTGACAAAGTGCTTCCACTCTACAAGTAAGTCTTAAAAACACCTGTTTTCCAGAAGACGGCTCTTCGCCCTCAAGGTGGCAGAAGAGTGCAAAGCAACTTGAAAATGGAAAAGAAATCCCAGCTGTTTTTCAACACAGTAGGTACAGATCATACCAGATAATCAGTTTAAACTTGTTATTTTTAGAATCATAAAATCAAAGAACGGTTTGGGTTGGAAGGGACCTTAAAGATCATCTGGTTCCGCTCCCCACTGCCATGGGCAGGGACACTTTCCACTGGACCAGTTTGCTCAAAGCCCCATCCCAACCTGGTCTTGAACACTGCCAGGGATGGGGCAGCCACAGCTTCTCTGGGCAAGATCATGCTATCATAAATTTCAGAGCTTCAGATAGTAAAAAGTACAAGATAGTACTGCATACCTAAAATTACAGAAGTCCATTTAACAGAGGTGGTTGCAGCAGACTGACAGATGAGTTAAGGACAGCATGTTAAAAAACATTCGGTTCATTAGCAAGCTCTTAATCAGATGATTTGCATCTGCTGTTTCTGATTCATAGAACCTGGCAGCTAAAAGACTGAATTATTATTGTCTTTTCTATTCTGAGTGAGACTGCAGTTTGTTGTCAGGAGCTTTCCTGGTTTGGATGGGTGTCCTTCTGATAAGCTTGTACGTTTTTAGGATGAGTTGTAATACCGATCCCTTGGTCAGCAGGTCAGAAGATTCGGATAGTAACCATGACAGTGAATTCAGGAAAAAAAAAAAAACAAACTAGCAAAACTCTTCAGGGTCCGGTAATGAGTGTCTGAGCCAATAGGTGGTGCACTACGCTTGTGGAGAACTGCTTTTGCTGGTCCCCCACGGGTCCTAAGGTTGCGCGTTCTAGAAAACGTGTTTCATTTCACGCACCCAACTAGTTTCAGTAGCTTGAAAGCAGTAAGAGAAAATAAAATATGTGTTTTTAAGATGGCGCTGGTAATTATTGGAGTGAATTACATGTATTTCAAATGCTTATGTTCAGAATGGCATTCCGATGTTGCATTTGCTTTGATCCTTGTATTTGGCTTAGTAAGAACCATCATTTCACGAGTAGTTGGAGAGCACACTCAAGCATGGAATCATGTTTAGGAAATTTTGCTCATGTAATACCTGTAGTCAGTCACCTATCTTCCAGGAAAGGACAAATTTCTTCCAGCCCAAGAATACAGACATGCAGTCATTTCTGTGGAAGATGTTTGTTTATGCACCATATATTGCTTTATTTGAGCTTGCTATTATCTCAATGTTTGAAGCTCCTTCCAGGTTTCTTCTTGTTCTGAATGCAAACTTTAGTCTCTTTAAACCTATTGTTTAAACTAATTTATACTAATTTAAACTGGTTGAGTTACTGCTGATAAATATCTGGTCATAATTAAATTCTCCAGAGATAATCCTTACAGGAGGCAGACAACTTCCAAGAATGCTTACGCCGACTTTACCTGAAATTTATTCAACATTTTGTACTCCTGAAATTAGATGGTATGAAGGATCCCTGCCCTGTCTGCTATTCATCTCACTTATTTTCAGCTAAGATCCTGGAGAGAAAAGATGGTTTCTTAAATATTGTACATAACATAAGCAAAATACTTGATTGTGCAGTAAGTTCTGATGTGCCTCAAACCTGCAGGCCACACTGAGTATCTTCTTGGTGCTAATAAGGCTAGGAGTTGTGAGGTAGGTGATACGTATTTTTTCTGGCTTAATTTCCAAATGAGTCCAATTCTGTGGTGAAGTTGTGGAAACAGAGAGGAATTTGGGTGTTACCAATGGCCTGGAAAGGAAGCATTCTCTGCCTAGCAGAACATGCTGTGGAACAGATCACAGAGAGCAAAGGAGAAATCAGAAGATGACAAGAGAGCATTTGCCCTTTGTAGTTTCCTTTCTAAAATTCAGGTGTTACTTTAACTGTGTTTTATTTTTTCATTCCCAAGCAGCAATAGTGCACCTCCCAGTCCTAGCAATAACATTCATACATCCTAGTGGATGGCACAGTCTGAGTGTAATTTTATATTTTCAGTCATATAGGAACTTCCTGGCTTGTAAATAATCTACATGAGAAAATAAACGTTTAACATCTTAAAGCATTATTTTCTTCTTAGAACATCAAAAATTATGTTTTGAAATACTAAGACAATGATCAAAATATTAACACTTTAAGAATTGCCATGGTCCAATATATAAATACAGGTATTTACCTGCAGTATATTCTACTCACTTCAAAAATGGGCTATATTTTATCATGGCAATTCCCCTTTTACTAATTCAGCACATAGCTGTAGGCACAGAGCAACTACACTTAGGGCCATGTTTTGATATTTGCCCCTTTTTCCTTATACAGTTCATTGAAAGTATGAATGAAAATCTTTCTTTGGAAACAGTTTTTAATGCTTATACCTTCATGCACCATTTGGAGCTGCCTTCAGACTCTCAGCTGCAAACCCTTGAGGTAACCTTTGGAGTGGTGCTTTCTTCAGGTTACAGGGAACTCCTGCATATTTTCCTCATGCTTCCCTTTGGGGGATCCTGCTGACTAAGCCTGTCTCACCTCTCCCCTTACCTGCTTTTGCTGTTGACTTCATGGTTCTCTGTATGTTCTCCAAGGACCTTCATTGATTCCAAAAACATGGCTGTTGGAACTGCAGTTCGTTCAGGGGTTTCAGAAAAGCACTGTGTGATAGCAGTCTCTTAAAAGGCCTCAGATTAAGAACAGTCTTTCCTTCTCATGGTGTTTTTGTGGTAGTAAATTATTAAGGTTAGCAACAGCTGTTAGTTCTGTGTCTCATACAGAACTGAATGAACTGCAAGGGCCTAACAAATCCTGATCTTCCTGACAGGACAACTAAATTTAGAGATTCCTTGCATAGACTTCTGCAAACCATTTTGAGAGCACACAGGCACAGTTCTGCTGACTACAGCACAACATCAGCCAGCACAGCTCTCTCAACAGCCAGCAGCTTCCTGTCTTCAAAGACAGAAGCTTCATTTTCTTTCTGCCTTTAAGTGAGATGATCCTTCTTTCAGCCATTAATCCTGTTTAGCATTTTGAAAAAAGGAAGGGATTATATCTGCTCCTGAACTTCTAATACTACAAGGCACAGAGTTACTGAGTTCTTTGACGTCTCAAAAGGTGCTGTTGGAACAAAGAGTCAAGTAGACAATCACACCCTTAGGACAGTTGTAGGCAGCCTTCGAATGCTCTAAGCAAATGCTTTACAACAATGGGTCAAGGTAGCTGCACTTATGCAAATGTATTGTAAATTCTAGGTATGAATATCTGCCAATGCATCTAAGCAAGTAACTTAAATCATTAAATAGTTTCCTTTGGAACACTGGACATGCTTTATTTTTTTTTTTTTCACAATTTATTTAAACATCTCACATATACAAAATACATTTTCTTTCTTTTCTTGAGAAATGATGATTTTTTTTTTTAACCCATTGTAGGAGATGGAAATGAGATTCAAAAATGGGAACACCTGATTTTGGAAAAAGAGGACAAAGCAAGGAAAAATTATCCACATGCTTAAGCTGTGGGTGAGACAGGACATTCGAAGTTTTGAGACAGACTTCAAAGAAACAGAGAAGTGATACTTCAAATGCTATTAGCACCATCAAAGTTCAAGTATTGGAAAGATAGTCTGTAATAATGCAATTAGCACCACTGTATTTTGAGTGGAACTGAAAGTACCTCAGAGCATATGGAGAAGCACCTACAGAAGATGTGGGTCACACTTGATTTAGTGTATAAGGTAGCTTAAACCTTTGGGAGTCATGGTTTTAAACTTCCTCTGTGGAAGATATTCAAAGGCCACAAGTGGTGCAAACTTTCATGATTTTTTTATTTT